CCGGAACGTCATGTGACCATAATATTATTAAGTTACGTGACGTTACTAGCATGTAATCACGCTTAAAAAGTGGTGTTTGAAGACTTTTGGTGACCCTCTGTATATACATATAAAAATACTAGTATTTTATTAGTATATTCCTTGCTTCTAATACTGCATTAATTCTTTATAGCATTAAAGCAATAAACTTTTCAAATTGAAACTGTCTAAATCTTTCTATCTTTACTTTAGTATAACTTTAAATTCATTTACAATTCATAAACTATAATTTAAATAGAAGAAATATGAATTTAGAATTGTAATATAAGTATTTAAATTAATTTTTTATTTCTTATTTATTTTTAAAAATTAATAGGCTTTTGTTCTTATAAAACATCCTAAACTATTACTGATTTTTAATTATTTATAAAAGTAAATATTAATATTCAATATTAAATCTTTTCTTATATTTCATTAAATTCTTAATTGCTAAAATTACTTTCAATTTCAATATTTAATTCATCTGAAAAAATAATTTGTATCTAATTATAAATACTTTTTTTCTTATTATTTTACACTAATTAATACAAACTATTACATATCTTTTTAAAATAAAAGGATTATTTGCAGTAACATAAAAATAAATTCTAATATGAGGCCTTTGCAATAGAAAGAGAGGAAACTCAAAAAAAAAATAAAAAATGAGTTAATAATAAATCTGAACAAATTATAGTATTTAGAACATTTTTGGCTTATAAACTAAAATTTTAATTTTTTTGGAGTTTCCTCCTTTTCTATTGCAAAGATCCTATATTATATAAGATATTTTAACAGTTGTTAAATTATAGTTTAACTCTAGTATATTAAGAATTTTGCATAAAGGTATATTATTTTTTATAATTTCTTTAAAAATACATTTTTTGTTATTATTAAAAAAAAGGTGAATATTTAGTATATGGTAAATTTTCAATATTTTTTGTTTTCTAATATTTAGTAATAAATCTGCATATTGTATAACTATTTTTTTATTATTGAATAGAGTTTAAAGTTTTTATATAAATTAATATTTTTTTCTTATTACAAAAAGTCATTTTAATATATATAAATACTATTTTTAACTATATAAATATTTTAAAAGTCAAGTAAGTAAGAAAGTTTAGATTAAAATACAAAAAAGGATATTAATAATTAAAATATAATATTATACATTAATTAAATATTACTTTATAATACAAGTATATATTTTTTAATAAATTTATATATTAAAGATATATGAAAGATACAAAAAAATGTTAGTTTTAAATTTTGTAATATTTATATTATATAATTATAAAAAATTATTTACATATTATCATCAGATTCATTTTTAATTATCTTAATGTCTAAATTAAAAGAATATAACAATTAATTCTATTCACTAAAGTTTATGATCTTAGGATTTCTCTAAGTTTTACAGATATTTATTATAATTAAATCAACTTAATAATTTATTATATCTTAAAATTAAAGATATATTTAGTTAAACTCATATTAATAAACTTATCATAAACAGTTAACTAAAGTACTCTCTGAGTATTATATCCTTCTTGCATTTTAAAGGCAAAAGATATATTATACTCAGAATACAAAATGCTAATAAATAAAATTATTTTTCATAAAAAATGTATTGTATTCAAGAATACAATACTTAAATCAAAATATTTTTATTTTTAAGATAAATTTTGATTTATTTGATATATATATGATATATAAAAAAATTCAATACAAGAAAAATTCAAAAAAAAATTAATTCCAAATATTTTCATAATTTGGCAATTTATCTTCATCATATTCATTAAATTCTAAGTTATTTAATGGCAAATCATTTTCAGATTCATTATTAGATTCATCAATTTCTATTTCATCTTTATGGTAAATATTATTTTCTTCACTCTTTTTATTATTCTTTTTTTTTAGATAAAGAATCATAATCAAATAATAAATGATCTTTACTTCTATTTCTAGCTATCGATACTTTACAACATTTAAATGATTTATAAATTAAAATAGTATCAACATCATTCTATGAATCCATAACCTATTTAGCAATAGTAGAATATGATGATTTTTTAATACGTCCTGCTGGTGTTAATTGATGAATTACTAAAGCTATCCAATCTTGATAATGTTATCTTAATTTAAATTTAAAACTTTTATTAATAGAAACATCCAATGGTTGAAGTTTACTAGTGAGATCGTCTGAAATTACTGCTATATTTATTTGTTTTTAATAAATCTATTCTTAACAAAATCAACTAAATGTCTTCTAAAAGAATCCAAAACTAGAAGAGATCAAGGATTACCTAATGGATTACATTGATTCTATACATTTTCAATCCATCATAATATTTCATTTTTATTCATCCATTCCTTTTTATTTACACGAATGTTAATACCTTGAGAAAATTACTCTCTTGGAATATTTTTTAATTTAAAAATACAAGTAGCTAGAAGTTTAATACCATCAGCCAAACATGATAAAATAATAATAAAATAAGTTTTTTCATGACCAGTTATACGAATAATTACTGTTGATATATCACGTTAATATAATATTATATTTGAAAGTAAATCAAAAGTAACTGGTGTTTCATCTATATTACCAATATATTTTAAAGAATAATCATATTGAATTCTTTGATATAAAATAAAATTAAAAAAACTTTGTTGTTTTTGTAAAAAAATTATCTGGAAAATATTGCGCAATATGAGTTCATCAATATGTCACAAATTAAATCTTTTCATAAAACTTTCCAACCATGTTGTTGAAAATTTAAAGTTATTGATATTTGGATAAAGATTAAGATAATCTTTAACAATAGATTTAGTTTTTTTAATAATCATATTTTGCATAACTGCTTTTGTGCTTAACGCATATCTGTTATCTATAAAGACAAATTTTTTTCAAGTTCTGGAAGATGTGCTTCCCTTCCTTTATGCAGTTTTTGAATATAAGGAGCTGCATTTTCTAATTGATTTTTTTGGTTTTTCTAATATCATATTTGTTTATGCTCAACTTCAAATTTTTTGGCTGCCAACTTATTACTTCTACATTATTTAGCATAATAAATAATAAGCAATTTTTCTCTTATACACCACTACCTTTTTTCTTTAAAGTAATATGAGATTTTTTATAAGAACTCTTATTACAATATACAGACTCCCGCCAAAAGTTTCTGAATACTAAGTTTAAATGCAAATAAATACATCGTTATGTCACATGACCAAATGATACTGCAGTCATAAGAAGTTACGATGTTTGTTTATGTTAATTTATAATAAAA